CCGCAGCACAGGCAGCCGAGCGGCGGCCGTGACGGGCCTGCTGCCCCGCGCCGGGGCCGCGGCGGCGCCGGGCGCGAAGCGCAGGAGGCCCACCAGCGCGCCGGCCAGGCGGCCGCAAGCGGAGGCGCCGCGGCGCGAGGATCGCGCTGCAGCGAGGCGCGGGCGGCTTGCGGAAGCTGCGGAGAGCTGGGGCCGCGGGCGGGCCTTCCTCGAGTCGAGGTCAGCGGCCGTGACACAGGAGAAGCTGCACGAGAAGATGATGACGGATTTCCTGGCGTGGGCCGCTGCTCACCGGCTGCCGCTGGAGACGCTGGCCGAGAAGGGCGAGGCTCTGGCGATGAGGGGCGACGCGATGTACTCCGAGGGGGCCGCGGCGGGGGACTTCAGCAAGCTGAGGGCCGCCGCGGCTTTCTACTGGCAGCTGGGGCGGGCCGGGGTGGAGCTGAAGAGGGCCACCCGGGCCCAGGTGGGGTTCAACAAGATGGCCCCTGCCGCGACGAGGCTGCCGATGCCGCTCGTCATCATGCACATGATCTTGAATGCCATGATGTTTCTGGGGAGCCCGTGGGAGATGTGCATGTGCGTTGCTCTGATGCACGCGCTGTACCTGAGACCCGTTGACGCGATCAAGATGCGGCCGGAGGACCTGGCGGCGCCGCTCGCAGGCGCCGGCGCGGGGCACGCGCGCTGGAGCGTGGTTCCCCACCCCGCGGAGGGGATGCAGCCGTCGAAGGCAGGGCTGTACGACGAGGCGCTGGTGCTGGACAACTCGGAGTACTTCGACCTGGTGCCGGGGCTGCAGCTGCTGCGGCGGGGCGCGGGGCCGCGCCTCTTCCCCTTCGAGTACACGGAGCTGGCGAGGCACTTCGGCGCAGCGGTGAGGCTGCTCAACCAAGAGGTGATCGGCATCAACCACCTGTACCAGCGCCGCCACGGGGGCGCCTCGCACGAGATCGCCAGCGGCCAGAGGGACCTGCAGGGCGTGCTGCGTCGCGGGCGCTGGGTGAGCGCGAAGTCGCTCCGTCGCTACGAGAAGGGAGGCAGGCTCAACCAGGTGCTGGCGCGGCTCTCCAAGGTGGCGCTCGAGCACGCCAAGGCCTGCCGCGTCCGAGCTGGACAGCTCCTCGCCAGGGCCTGCTCGGCGCTGCCGCCCGTGCCCCACGGGGCCAGGTGGCCCTTGAGCTCTTCAGCGGCACGGGGCGCTGGGCGCAGGCCTGGCGGCGCGAAGCGGGGCTCCAAGACGTGCCGGTCTTCGAGTGGGACCTGATCCACGGAGAGGAGTACGACTTGACCCGCCCAGGCAACCAGAGGCTGATCAGGGGGTGGCTGCGCGGCGGCCTCATCTGCGCAGTGTGGATGGGCATGTTGTGCTCCTCCTGGTCCATGGCGCGGAGGGGCGGCACGACAGGGCCGCCCCCGCCGCGCAGCAGGGATTGTATCATGGGGCATCCTGGTCTCTCGCCCCTTGATGCGCGAAAGGTTGCCATAGGAAATCGTCGCATGCGTTTTTGCGCCAGCGTGCTGCAACTATGCATGCGTCTTCACATCCCAGTGGTACTTGAGAATCCGCACTCGTCTCGGGCGTGGTCAGCGCCTCCCATTGCACGTGTTTTGAACCATGCCAATGCTAGACAGACCGTCGTAGATGTCTGCCTCTACGGTGTTCCGCGGAGGAAGAGAACCAGGCTTCTTTCCGCGTGGGTCGATCTCTCCCCGCTTCGTGGTTTGCGCTCGTCGTCCAAAGGGATTTGCACCCGCGCGAATCGCCCACATGTTGAGTTGACAGGTAAATGTAGAACATCAGAGAATGAGCCTTTGCAGTTTATGACGAAGATAGCTGAACCATACCCGAGACCTCTGTGTAGGGCCATCGTAAAATATGTTCGGCAGGCCCTCGCGTTTAAAGTTTGTCAGGGTTTCTCCCGATGGGTTTTGAATGCTGGATAGTTTCTGATCGACGGCCCAAAGGGGCCAGTTGAACTCATTGGGATTCGTTGTTTTGGGGCAGGATCGGCAAAGCCGCGATCGCTAGCGCAGGTTGCCTCTCGTTCGAGCTGCTGCGCTCGCCCGCTGCTCCCGACGCCGGCTCGCTCAGTCAGAAATCAAGATCGTCTGGCCCCAGCGGCGGGAGCGGGATGATGTTTGTGATTGCGCGCGTATCGTCTAGCAACCGCTGGCGTGTGTGGCCGTTTCCTGTCAAGGGTTCGCCTCCCTCCCATCCCTCCCTGGCTCAGCCCTGTTTCCAGGGGCAGGATCGGCAAAGCCGCGATCGCTAGCGCAGGTTGCCTCTCGTTCGAGCTGCTGCGCTCGCCCGCTGCTCCCGACGCCGGCTCGCTCAGTCAGAAACCAAGACCGTCTGGCCCCAGCGGCGGGAGCGGGATGATATGTATATATGGTCGCCCCCCCCCAGCACTCCCAATCCACCAAAATCGCAAAACCTTCTTTGATCGTTCGCTCGTCGTCGTCATCCTCCTTCTCCTCCGCCTACGCTGTGTTGTCCAGCTTTTCCAGCTTTACGCCGGTATTCCCCCTCTTAGTGTGCGTGTATGTGTTCATGCGTGTGTGTGTGTGTGTCCCTCGAGAGCTCCCTGCTTCTTTGTTGTGTATGTGATGCATTGTCTCTCTCTCTCTCTCTCTCTCTCTCTCTTTTTCTCTCTCGGTGATGATGATGACGACGATGCTGCTCATGATCATGGTTATGATGGTGTCGATGATGACGAAGACGATGGTGATGAATATGACAATGATGATAGTGATGACGACGATGATGATATTGGTGATGGTGATGATGATGGTGATGGCAGTGACGATGACGATGATGATGATGACCACGATTATAATGATGATGACGATGATGATGATTCTGATTATGCTGATGAGGGTAGTGATGGTGAATAGTGATGATGATGGCGATGCCGATGCCGATGATGATGACGATGATGACGACGACGACGATGACGACGACGACGATGATGATGATGATGATGATGATGATGATGATGAAGTCTCTCGTGTTCTCCATCTCCCTTCGCTATAACAAGTATAACGTTATCTCTCTATGCATGTTTGTTTGTATACTGAGACACCCATATCAAACAATTAAGTACAATATATATATATATATATATATATATATATATATATATATATATATACACACATACACCAGGGGACGTGGCCGGAGGGGTCCCGCCCAGGGACCTCGGCAGGGCATGGGGGGCCCGGGCCCTTTCTTTCCCTGTGTTTTCGGCCACCCAGAGCCACCAGAGCCCCGGGGAGCGTGGCCGGGGGGCGTCCCGCCCAGGGACCTCGTCGGGGCATGGGGGGCCCAGGGCCTTATTTTCCTACTGTGTTTTACCCGTTTTTTTTGCGTTTCGGCCACCCAGAGCCATCAGAGCCCCGAGTGGCGTGGCCGGGGGGGTCCCGTAGGACCCTTTGTTTGTGCGATTACAACCGCCGCTTTTTTGCCCTGCAAACATTGATATTCATGATGGAATATTATACAATCTTTCTGGAAAAGGATGGCGTGTGAGGCGGGAGGGGGGGAGGGGGACATCTCGAATGTAATCTTATTGTGTTCGTACTGCCTTCTTATTGCAATCCGATTGTATCTGCAGTGGAGAAGGAAAGATGGAGGAGAAGGGAGGGAGGAGGAGGGAGGAGGGGCCGCGGAAGCTTGCCAGGAAAATCGGAAAAACATGACAAACAAGGAAAACCTATGTCTTCACAGAGAAAAATAAGAAAAAGCCACGAAACCTGTGACTGTCGTTATCTGTTTAGTTTTTCCTATTTTTCTCTGTGCAAACACAGGTTTTTCCTTGTTTTTCCTGTTTTTCCTAGTTTCCTCCTCCTCCGCTCTGCTGCGCGGAGGGCCCCTGGGCAGCTCGGAGGGCCAGGACCCTCGGGGGGAGGAGGAGGAAAATAGGAAAAACAGGAAAAACAATGAAAAACTTGTGTTTTCACAGAGAAAAATAAGAAAAACCACGAAACCTGTGACTGTCGCTCTTTGTTTAGTTTTTCCTATTTTTCTCTGTGAAAACACAGGTTTTTCCTTGTTTTTCCTGTTTTTCATATTTTCCTCCTCCTCCGCTCTGCTGCGCGGAGAGCCCCTGGGCAGCTCGGAGGGCCAGGGCCCTCGGGGGGAGGAGAAGGAAAATAGGAAAAACAAGAAACACAAGGAAACACCTGTGTTTTCACAGGGAAAAATAAGGAAAAGCCACGAAACCTGTGACTGTCGCTCTTTTTTTAGTTTTTCCTATTTTTCATTGTGAAAACACAGGTTTTTCATTTTTTCCTGTTTTTCCTATTTTCCTCCTCCTCCGCTCTGCTGCGCGGAGGGCACTTGGGCAGCTCGGAGGGCCAGGGCCTTCGGGGGGAGGATGAGGAAAATAGGAAAAACAGAAACAAAAAAAAAAAAAAAAAAAAAAAAAAAAAAAAAAAAAAAAAAAAAAAAAAAAAAAAAAAAAAAAAAAAAAAAAACGCGAAAGTCACATGTTTCGTGGGTTTTTCTTATTTGCTTATCGGGCAGATCCTAATCCCGAATGTTTCCAATTTTCAATATGTTTAATTCAAATGTAATTCGGTCGATTCCAGATCCAGATTTCCACAGAATGCGAGGGGGCCACGGAACTGCCGAAGGCCATTTCGATTCGCCAAATTAAGTTCAGGTGGGTTATGTTTTCCGTGGGGCAGCAATTCAAACTGACAGAATGCAGTGAAGGAGCAGAGGTGTGCAAGGATGGGAAATGATGTCTACGCAGTTGGCATGCAGCTGGCGCCTTTGGCGTGGCTGGCGCGCTGGCGCTCCTGCGCTTGCGTTTGCTCCCCTTTGTCACAACCTGGGGATCCTGCCACTCCTCTACACATTTCGAGCTCGGAGCCTTCACATGTCCCAACTCGAGCTGTCGCCTCAGGAGGGCCATCGCATGGGCATGACAAGACACGGGGGAAAGTTTGGACATCCCTTCAGGCGCTCTTCTTTTCATGTACAGTGACACAACCTTCCCGAAGGTGAACAAGTCCAACGTGAACTCACACCGCTGGCGAGTCGATGCGAAAACATTGGCGTTGTACGCCTTCAGCTGGAACATGACTGCTTCATTAGGAGTTGCCCCGTATTGGCACGGCAGCCCCGTTCTCATTCTGTATACGGATATGTTCTGGTAGTACAAATACTTTGCGGGCGCCATGTACCTGGAGAGGAGATCGCTGACCGTCGACTGGGCATTGCGGCCTGTGAGTGGTCTCTGGCACGACCTCTCGTTCTGGCTCATCGCTGCCATGATGTCAAGGCAATACTGCTTGTGGTTCAGGTAAGCCTTTTCCTGGTAAGCCGTTGTCTGCAAACGTTCATACGCCTTGCGAAGATCCGAGGGGCACGGTTTGAAATCCACGTGCGCCCGACCCCTGGGCTGGCTCCCGTCGAAGTAGCGCTTCGCCTGCAGACTCGGCGCAGGTCTCCCATTGAACTTCAGAACGATTTTCTTGAAGTCCCTGCTCAGCTGGTCACCCTCCTTGATGAACTTCACTAAGTCCATCCACGCGTGTAGAGGGTCACCGCCGACGCATTTTAGGTTCGGAAAGAGTTTCTGCGCCTTCTGCATGTCCCACTTCTCCGGTGTATCAAAAAGGATAATCTCCGCTTGGCGCCTTTGCGCAAGCGTTGCGTTTGCCTCGATGAAATCTGAAAGTTCTGGAACTCCTTCGCTGTGCCCTGGCTTGCAAGATACTGGCACGCCGTCCGCGATCATCACGTGTACGCAGTGGAACTCAGAACGATCGGAATCGTCCTTCTTCTTTCCGTGGCTTGTCTGCCCGACTACAGCAAGCGTGTATTTATATGTTGAATCGAAAGACATCGCGCGGAAGCTCAACTCGTCGACGCACTTCTTTTTATATGCCGCAGAGATCTGAACCCCAGCCTTGTAAATTTGCTCCCACACTGTATTCATGGTAGGCACCGCGAAGCTCAGTTCGCTACCGTGCGATATGTAGTGCTCAATGATGCGGTCCCGAATTCGCAAGTACTTGCTCTGCGTGCGACTATCGTTGAAGGACGCCACAAGGAGCAGAAACTCGGGAGTGACGCGGTAGTTGCGGGTAATCCTGATGCCCTGGTCGTCGACAGCAAAGCGGGGGCCGCGAACGTCGAGGATGACGTGAGCACGGACATCGTTCGCATTCCGCAAATTGTCGACCCCGGCGGAATCACGGAGAAGCTGGGCGCTGCGTCCTAAGTAGCCTTCGCCGCCATGCTGCCTGGCACCCGTCAAAAAGGAAACGTTGATTTGTAGTTGATCCATCTTCGCCATGTTCTCGATCACCATCGCCTGGCGACCGGATGCGCCCCCAAGAACAGGTTCTTGCTGATGGTACCAGTGATGGTCTTCGAGGAATGCGAGACGCTGGAAGTGGCGATTGGGGCAGCGCGGGCATCGCCAGCGATTCTGACCGTCCTTGCACGTACTAAGGTCTGCGGCGTTTACTTCTTCTTTCAATCTGCCCATCAGGTCTGCAGAGAAAGCAATGGGCGCGCCGCCGAGCCTGTCGAACTTGTCGGTCGAGAACGACACGCCGTGCTTGGAGCCCACGTTCTCGAGGTGCTGAAGTAGAGCATCAAAACTCGACTCTTGCATCCGCAATATGGCCCCGTCCAGCATGAGGGCATTGACCTCGCAACTCGGCACGTGACTGGGTAATCCGCGCACCAAGTCGTTCATGATGTCTTCTTCCACCGCGGCCAAAGCAAAGTGGATGCGAGACCCACGGGGATTCGGCCTCTCCGAGAAGTGGGGCGCCAAGTACCCAAAACGGTCCATGCCCAGAACGATGCCCACGGCTGCGTGGATTTGCACTGACAAGTTCCACAAGAAAGGAATGTCGTGCGATGGCGCCCCCAAGTGAACCAACCGATTAAGCTTTTTTTGGCAGCCTTCGGGGGCATGTCGAAGTATTCCATCATGAACGCCCGCCGCTGTTTGTAGTTCTCGCTGAAACTAACGAGTACCCGGAAATCCTCCATGTCGGCAACGGCTTCTCTCAGGAGGTTGACGAGAATGGTGCAACAGCAGTTATTTATATCTACGTCAACGAATATCATGTCGCCGCCCGCCGAAGCCCCGATCTCCGTGGTCATGGCGATGCTCTTGGCGCCTCTGCTCGAAAAAGATTGCATGGCAGGGCCTGCCGCGTACCACCTGCCAGGTATTCCATGCTTGCGGTGGTAGGCGACCTTGAGCACCCCCCGATCGCCGCGCCTGCTGCCGCGAAGGCGGTAGGCCTCGAGAAGCTGCTTGACCTGCGCGACCTTGGTTGACACGGCCCCCGTGCCCGCGGCTTCCTCGAGGCGGGCCACGTTGATCCATTCATCCACTTCGATGACACAAACTGATTCCCCCGCCACAGCTCTGTCATCTGCTGGCTCTGGCTCGACGGACGCCAGCGGCGGGAATCTGCTCTTGCACGCCCACACATATTGCCAATTCGGAAAGCCCCCCCCCGAACACGCCGTCGTCGTACTTGCCCATGATCTCGGAGAACTTCGCGTAATTGATGCTCAGGAACCGTAGCTCCTGCGGGCGCCCCCCCCCCGGGACGCGCGCGCGCACGCGCGCACTCGCGCGCGCGCGCTCGCGCGCACTCACACACGCACGCACGCGCGAGCACGTTGCGCGCATCCTACACCACCGTACGCACAAGGCTGCAACACCCCAGGGGTAGGGAGCCGAATCGACCCCCTCACGCTTCCGCGAGCTTCCGCTGCCCTCCCGCCGTGCTTCCGCCACAGCCCCGATGGCCCCGTCGCTTGCAAACCCGTGCGCCCTCGCCCCTTCGCCCAGTGCCCCATGAGGTGACGCTCGAGACTATATCATTCCATCGCTTCGATGAACCCGATCCTTCGTGTCTTCGTTTACATCTATCAGGTGAGGCCACCGATCGATGGCGCCCATGAGATTGTCAAGTCGGGTCGCTTTTCCCTTGGCCCCAGGCCTGTACGCGCCAGGCACGGACTTGCACGTCGCGTTGACTTGGTACAGCTTCAGCGTCGCCTTGCCCGCTGCATCTCTATGAGCAGCTTCGACGATCCCTCTGGCTGCATCAAGTTGCGCCCTGTTTTCGGCCTCTGTGATGAACTCGGCTGGTACCTCGAGGCCGCCGTTTGCCATCTGAGCGACGACCCTTCGCGTTTCTTCGACAATCGACTGATCTGGGTCCAAGAGCACCTGGCGGCATCGGCTGGCAGTGTATTCCTGAATGAACGGCCACAGGAAGAACTTGATGTAAGCGAGGCGGGTCTGGTCGCCCTCCAAAAACGCCATCAAGTCAGCATCTTCACGAAACACAGCCTCGTCGACGTCGATCGAGCCAGGGTTGCTAGTGAATACAGATTTCAATAGCACGACCCTCAAACGCCGCCAAATGGAGCGGAGCTCATGAAATCTTTTATAATCGCCGTTAATACGTGGGAATTGTCTGTTCGTCTCCCAGAACTTGGCGCACGTCAACCATCTATAGTATTGCGTGGTTTTGCCGAACAGAGGCCTGCACGCCATAAATTCCCCGGATACGAACTTTTTCCAGATCTCTTCTAATAAAGCAATGCCAGCCGCGCATTCTTGGACGGTGAGACACTTGGCGAACGCGAACTGCCCGCCCTGCTTCCTGCACTCCTGCGGTTCCTGGAAGACGTCAGCTGCCAAGACGGCGTGATGCCCGCCGAACACGCTGTTCCGCAACACTGTTCTCGCCGACTTCGAATTGCCCCCGTTTCCCGTCAGCATGACCATGACAGGAGGAGTTGGGAGCCCCATCCACGCAAGCGCCTCCATGGCGAGATCCATCTCGCGGCCTGCCTCGCTGCCCGCAAAAGAAGTTGCCAGGAAGAGCGCTAGCCGTTCAACGACGCTTTGCGGTGGGGCGGGGACAATCTGCATTGGGATGCCGAAGTAACATAGGTTTTCTCTCTTCTTCGGAATCTGGACGATCCCCTCGGCAGCGCTCGAGGCGCCGTCGTCGATCTTGATGGCGCAATCCTCGAAAGCAACCGAAACGAACGGCGCCTCTGGCTTGGGCACGTGGGTCCAGGAACCGAGCAGCTCAACGAGCCTCTCAGACTGCATCTTGCCTGTAAATCGGCCGACGATGTCTCTGAGCCCCTTGCGCGCGTCGTGCGCCCACGCAGCCACGCCATCTTTCTTGCCTTGTAAATCGATAGAGCATACGGGGTCCCCAGACGCCCAAGTCCCCACGTCGCTCTCTAAAAACTGGAACACGGTATCAACGTTGCGCAAGGCGTTTGCCTTCATGAGTTTTACGAGCATCACTTGTGTCATTGAAAGGACCGATTCGACTCTGTACATATGAGTCGTCGGGATCTCCTCGGACCGACCGAACGAGCCCTGCTTGCAAATGTAAACGCCGTCCGTGTGGGCGACGACGTCGGACAAGATCAGGGCGGCGATGCGGGTGACGAGGAGGTCGTTGTTCGCGTTCCAATGCGATGTCCCCGTGGCGCACATAGTCAGAAGTCTCATGCAGTAATATTCGGCGCCAGCGGGCTGGGGGTCCCATGCTTGTAGCAGTTCGTCTGTTTTGGCGACGATTCTCTTCGCTGCTTCTCTCACGTCGCCCCCGTCGGGCTCGACTTCCGCCTGCAATGCTGGCCCTGGTAATCCCTGAAGGCGCCTGTACTTCGCAGGCTCCCATTTTTCCAGAATGCGTCGCCTGGCGTCGTCGGGATACAATTCCCCTGAGTCCATGCCGCCCCATCTGTCGACGTCTTCCAGATCGCCGCAACGGACGGGCCGCGGATGCCGCAGTTGCGGCTCCCCCCGATGCGGGTCGCCCAGTGAATCGGCATCCGACCTCTCTGTGCCATCGGAAAGCACTGGGGCGTCGGTGGACTCTGAGTCAGCGTCATCCGGAGCAGACGAACTCTGGTCAGCGTCGGACGCATCGCCCTCGTCGTCGAGACGCCGCAAATAAGCGCCAAACGCCTGCTGATCGAACATCATCCCTTCCGTTACCGATTCTTCCGTGCGATCAGAAGCACTCGCGGCACCGTTGGGCCACAGGCCCGCGTCGCTGGAGCAACGAGAACTCCCCCCCGAATCCCGTGGATGTGGCTCCGACTCGTCTGTGCCTTCGGAAACCTCGGAGGCGTCGGTGACGGCATACCAGGTCGCATCAGGTCCCAATGCTTCAACGAGGGCGCCAATATTCTCGTCAAAATGGAGCAACTCCTTGTCGTCGATAACATCATACCCATCCTCGAACGTTTTCACGGCTATGAAATGATAGCCGTGTACGTGCACCACGTACTTCATTGGGAACGCATCGGGGCGGGGACCTTGGACGTACTTTAATGCCTTCCCGAACGGCTCGAGGAAGCGGTTGCCGTCGCGCAGAGCATAGTAGGGCCCGTCCTCATCAATCGCAATTTTGTATCCAAGGTTTCGTAAGTTCTTTTTGATACACACATTTGCGAACGGCGCCTTGCGCATGCTAATGGGCCCACATACAGCGTCGAGCAGTGCCACGAAGAGCAGCCGCGTGCCGATCGTGATGTGAGGCAGCCCAGTGCCCGCCGCCGCACGTCGCCCTCTTTGAGCAGCACTGGGTGCGTCACCGACGCCGACAACCTGCGGCGAGGCGTCGTCGCTCTCCTCGTACCAGCCAGCGGTTGCAGTACTGCTGGCGTCGGCAACTTCGAAGGGTGACGTCGCACGGGGGCTTTTCTTTGGGCGCCTTCTGGATATGGCGTTTACTTTGCCGTGGAAGTCCCTGCCTTTGAACGCCACGAGCAGGGACGGTTCCGTGAACTCGTCGCTCTCGCCGACGACTACGCCCTTCATGCCGTGCATGGAATCACCTTTCCGGGGCCCAAGCAGCCGGCGCTTCTTGACGTTCCAGAATACAGTTGTCCCGACGGCGTAGCCGTGGAGCCGCGGCGAGGGAACTTCCCCGCCATCGCTGGCCTCCGCGACTGGCGAGCCGGCCGCCCGACCCCCCCGAAAGGGGCCTCTCACTTGGCGGCGCGTGGACAAGGCGTCCAGCTTGACGTGGTAGTTCTCGCCCTTGAACGATACCAACAACGAAGCCTCGTTGAAGCGGCTGCTCCCACGGACGACGGTGCCTTTCATGCCGTAGGCGGCGTCCCTGGTGGCCCAATAGACCGTCTGCCCCGCGGTGTGGCCGTGAAGCGAAGGTTCGGGGTAGAACAGATCGCCTGGGTCTGAGCGAGTCTCCCGCATATCGTTGTTCTTCACCTCCTCCAGGAAGCCGTTCTGGATCTTGAACGCCAGCAGCCAGTCGGCAACGTTGCTGTCGTCGTACGCCGACATCTCAGCAAGCGGAGGAGGCGCAGTGGCGCCACGGGCTGGAGAACCGCTAGAGCTAACACCAGGAGCGTGGACCACGAGTCGCGCTTGAGACAAAACGGCCGTGGATGGAGGAGGGAGTGGGTTCCTCCTGGGTTCCTGGGTTCCTCCTGGGTTCCTGGGTTCCTCCTGGGTTCCTGGGTTCCTCCTGGGTTCCTGGGTCCTGGGTTCCTGGGTTCCTCCTGGGTTCCTGGGTTCCTCCTGGGTTCCTGGGTTCCTCCTGGGTTCCTGGGTTCCTCCTGGGTTCCTGGGTTCCTCCTGGGTTCCTGGGTTCCTCCTGGGTTCCTGGGTTCCTCCTGGGTTCCTGGGTTCCTCCTGGGTTCCTGGGTCCTGGGTTCCTGGGTTCCTCTTGGGTTCCTGGGTTCCTCCTGGGTTCCTTCTGGGTTCCAGGGTTCCTCCTGGGTCCCTCCTGGGTCCCTCCTGGGTTCCTGGGTTCCGTTTCCGCCCCCTCCCGAGCCCCTTGCAGGGTACCGAAAAGCGCCCGAAGACAACCGAAGAGCACCCGAAGGGCACCCGCAAGGCACCCGCAAGGCACCCGGAAGGCACCCGCAAGGCACCCGAAAAACCATCTCCTCAGAATTCCGAGATCGACACCGATAGTAAAAATGCACAACGTCATAATGAAAATGACATTTGGAAAATCTTGATTTTCGCAGATTGCGAGAAATGCACCGCGTTCCGCAAGCATGCTACGGAAACAACAAAAAAGTCATTTTAAAAATTTGCGAGCGTTTCCCCCTTCCAAATGTCATATTTGTGGAAGTGTGCGGCGTCGTCCCTGCCCCCTCCCCGTCCTCCTCCCTCCTCTCCTCCGTCCGTCCTCGCCGTCTTCCCCCCTGCCTCGCCCTCCCTCCCCCCCGTCCTCCCCCCCTCCTCCTTCCTCCTTCCCTCCTCAGCTTCTCCCGAGCCCCTTGCAGGGTACCGAAGAGCACCCGAAGACAGCCGAAGAGCACCCGAAGGGCACCCGCAAGGCACCCGCAGGGCACCCGAAGGCACCCGCAAGGCACCCGAAGGCACCCGCAAGGCACCCGAAAAAACGTCTCCTCAGAATTCCGAGATCGACACCAATAGTAAAAATGCACAACGTCATAATGAAAATGACATTTGGAAAATCTTGATTTTCGCGGATTGCGAGAAATGTACCGCGTTCCGCAAGCATGCTACGGAAACAACAAAAAAGTCATTTTTTGAAAATTTGCGAGCGTTTCCCCCTTCCAAATGTCATATTTGTGGAAGTGTGCGGCGTTCGTCCCTGCCTCCTCCCCATCCTCCTCCCTCCTCTCCTCCGTCCGTTCTCGCCGTCTTCCTCCCTGCCTCGCCCTCCCTCCTCCCCGTCCTCCCCCCTCTCCTCCTTCCTCCTTCCCTCCTCAGCTTCCGTCCGTGTCTCCCATCCTCCCTCCCTTCTCCCTCCCTCAAAGCAATGCAATGTGATTGCAATGCCGTGCGAGTGCAACGCAATGGAATATGATTGCCATGCAATGCAATGCAGTGCAATGCGATGCACTGCGATTGAAAGGAAGGGGAGGAGGAGGAAGATGAGTGAAGAAGAGAGGCATCGATGCCAGAGTCTTCTTCTACGACAAGAAAAGCAGGGGCACCGATATGCGCGCGCGCCCAGGAAGAACCTATGATGATACATAGTGTTCCAATCACAAGGAAATCCATCAAAAAGGCCTTGTTGTAATCATACAAACAAAGGGTCGCACGGGGGGGTCCCGCCCAAGGACTTCGGCGGCGCATGGAGGGCCCGTTTTTTTCCCATGTGCTTTTACACGGTGTCGCCGGCCCAGAGCCACCAGAGCCCCAAGAGGTCGCAGTGAGGTCCGAGTGCTGCTCCCGACTGGTGCCCCAGGTCTCCCACAGGCCTCCAAGAGGCTTCCAGGAGAGCTCCCTGAAGCTCACACATTTGGTTTTCCCATAATTTGTTTCCACGTTTCTCTCCATGCAGCCAGCCTGTTCTGCATCCCCACGCTGCGCGGCAGCCCCGGAGGACGCCCAAACCGTCCCGGTTCGGCCCCAGACGCTCCCAACCATGTCCCCGGATGGCTCCGCATGGGAGGATCGGCGCGCCCCAGTAGGGTTACAGGGCGGCCGGGGACGCTCCAAGATCCCTGCGACGCCGACGATCACCCCAAGACAGCCCCCCGAGCGACTTCGTCGACACGTCATGCTTCCAAAAGGCCTCCCCGGAGGGCTCTCTGAGGCCTTACTCTTTGTTTGTTCCAATGGTTTTCCTCCTTTGTCAGTCACCCAGCTTGTTCTGCATCCCCACGCTGCAAGGCAGCCCAGGAGGACGTCCAGACCGATGTGTTTCGGGCCCCTGGGGCTCCCAACCGTGACCCAAGACGGCGCCGCGTGGGAGGGCCAGCAGCGCCCCCAAGTAGGCTCCACGAGACGCCAGAGTCGCTTCCAGTCCTGCGCGACGCCGACGATCGCAGGCAGCCCCCCTTGAGCGACTTCGTCGACACGGCATGCTTCCAGGAGGCCTCCTTGGAGGGCTCTCTGAGGCCTTGCTCTTTGTTTGTTCCAATGGTTTTTCTCTTTTGTCAGTCACCCAGTTTGTTCTGCATCCCCACGCTGCACGGCAGCCCAAGAGGACGTCCAGACCGATGTGTTTCGGGCCCCTGGGGCTCCCAACCGTGACCCAAGAGGGCTCCGCGGCGGCTCCGCGTGGGAGGCACGGCGCCCCCAAGTAGTTGGGTTCCACGAGTCGTTTCCAGGCCTGCGCGACGCCGACGATCGCCCCATGAGAGCTCTCCTGGCCACCCCGCCAGCAAAAGAAACTTCCTAGAGGCTCCCTACAATGGCCCCCGGAGGCTCAAATCCTAGTTTGTCCGATGGTTTCTCCGAGGTTTCTGGCCACCCAACTTGTTTTGTTCCTCGACGGTGCAAGCTCGTCCTAGAGGCCCCCAAGACTGCCCCGCTGCGGCCCCAGAGGCTCCCAACCGTGCCCCATGACGGCGCCAAAGGGCACCCTGACGGCTGAAGCGGCGCCAGCGAGGAGCCCCGAACACCCCACCACGGCCGAGTGGGGCCACAAGAGAGGTTTGGGGGCCTTTGCGGTCGCCAGGAGCGGTCTCGGCGTTGCTGATTGCGCCCCGACGCCCCACGACTGAGCCAAAGACCTGCCACAGAGCTCAAAGGACGGGGAGGCGAAGGAGGACGAGGACACGGCGGAGGGGATCGATGAGGACGAGGGGGACGAGGAGGAGGAGGAGGACGAGGAGGAGGAGGAGGAGGCGAAGGAAGGGAAGAGCAGGGAGGAGAGAGTTAGGAGAGGCCGGCCGAGGACGGCCCTCCCTCCTCTTCGTAGTCGTCGTCCTCCTCCTCCTCCTCCTCCTCCTTTTCCTCCTCCTCCTCCTTTTCCTCCTCATCATCATCATGTTTCTCCCCCTGCTTCCCTTGATCCTCCTGCACCTCCTGGTGCTGCTGCTGCTGTTGCTGTTCCTCCTGCCCCTCCTCCTGCTACTCATCCTCCTGCTCCTCATCTCCCCCCTGCCCTCCCCCATCACCCACATTCCTCCTCCTTCTCCCCCTCCTGCTCTTGCTCCTCCTCCTGCTTCTACTCCTGCATCTCCTCCTTTGATGCTGCTCCTCTTCCCCTGCCCCTCCTCCTCCTCCTCCTCCTCCTCCTCCTCCTCCTCCTCCTCCTCCTCCTCCTCCTCCCCCTCAAGGCCCTCCCCTCCTGCTCTTCCTCCTGGACGCGGGGTCCTGGGGCCGCACTCGCGGGGCTGAGGAGGGGTCCAGGGATCGTGGAGGATTCCACGGGCCGCAGATGGGTCTACAGGCGTCAACGCGGGTCCCTGGAGCCAGGGGTCCAAAGCCCATGGCCCAGGGTCCACAATCCATCAAGGGCGGACGAGAAAGAGGACGACGACGACGAGGAGGAGGAGGAGGAAGAGGCCAGGGAGGAGACGAAGGCGAACGAGGACGAGGGCGAGCACGAAGACAAAGGGCGAGGAGGAGGAGGCCGACAACGATGACGAGCAGGGGGGGAGTCTGGGCAGTTTCCTGTTGGGCTTCGGGTTTCGTTCCCCATTTCCTGGGGTGAATTTACCGCTCCGGTTCGGTCTGTATCGGTCTGATTCGGCCCCATTTGGTCCACGAGCGATCTTGGTTCGGTCCGGTTCGGGTCTTTACCGCGAACATTCCGGTTCGGTTCGCGGCCGTTCGATTCAGCCTGGTCCAGTCCAGGCAGTTTTGGAACCTTCTTGCAATGAGACGTTGCGACGGAGTTACGCCAGGAAGGAGGCAGCACAGTAAAGGATGTCCAAGGCTCCAGGAGGGTCGGCCGACAGGACCCTCTGGAACGAGATCCGCTGTCGATGGCATTGGTTGCCGTGGCATCCTTTGGCGCCATGATGCCGTATGTATGGATGTGTGTATGTATGCGCACGCTACGAGGGACATATAGAGGGGTGAGAGAGAGGTACAGAGACAGAGAGAGAAGAGGGAGAAGGGAGAGGAAGAGTGAGAGAAAGAGGGAGGAAAAGAGAGAGGGAGAGCGGAGGGCGAGGAAGAAACACATGCACACACGCACACACATCCCCCGCAGGTGCCATATCTTGTCCGTATTCGTACTGTACTCCACGGAAGAGCTCGTCTAAGCCAGATTCGGTTTAAGTAAACACACACACACACACATACACACGCGAACGTTCACACAAGTTCCATGAGGATGCCAACGTGAGACGAGAACACAGTAGTGCCAGTCGCTTCCCCCCCCCCCTCGCCCTCCCGGGAGAGCCCGGGCCCTCGAGCTTCGGACGCTGCGCAAAAAGGGGTTGATGAATTTGGGGGGGGGCGGCAGAGAGGTGCCCCCTCTCTGCGCACTGCAGGGGCGCCCGAAGGGGCCCCCCTTGGGGCCCAAGAGAGGCACGCGTCTCTTCGCCCCCCCCATGCGCTGCCTTCCCCCCACCACCCCCACCCACGCGCAACGCCCAAGAACTCGGGCCCCTCCTGCC